TATGCCTTGAAGATTTTATCATAACTTTTTATCATAAATGATTAACAGTAGGAAACTCCTCTGTTGCTATGAAACAGAACAATTGATGATGTCATTATAGTGTTTAGAAAATTCAGTTTTAGTCTATACTGAAACCAATAGGAACAAAAACGTGTGGAGCATTAATTGGGGAAGGGTGAACAGATCAGCAGGGAAGGTGCTGAATCAATGCACTTTATGAGCAGCTTCTTCAGCAGGATTGCTTTACAGTCCCAACTAGAATTTTAAGCTTTCCTCCTCCAGCAAATTTCCTGAATGAAGGCAGATAGAGACAATATCATGTTAATCTTCCCTGACATTGTGGAAGAAATGACCTGTCTTTAGTGAATCTAACCATACATTTTAAGTAGAGGACATTTCAGAACATGGGCTCAACTCCAGATGTAGAGGGAGTTGCGTGTGCATACAACTGTCCCTCTCCCCAGCTGCAAAACGAGAAACACTGAAGTAGGTTGGGTTCCATGTATCATTTTGCATTGTTTCAATTTCATGAAACCTGAGAAGCAGGATAAACCTGAGACACATGGAGCTCTGCCCCGCCTGGATAGGTACCCAAACCAGCTCACCTACCCAGCTACCCATTCTACACTGCACCATGCACGCAGATATGAGACAGTCCATATTTTAATGACTTCCTTCCTCTTTGTGGCATCAACATCAGTTATTCCACATACTTGTAAAGGATCATCGCAGTGACCCAGAGAAATTGCTGGTGATTAACGAGTAAATGATTCCTTCTTCCTTTGCTTTTCCTAAAGATACATAATGTAAAAGGGCTAATCTGCTCTATTCTAGGAGAAGCATCTCTCATTGCAGAAGAGAATCTATTGCTTCTCAGAAGAATCCACTTAATGAAATACTGCCAAACAAAATGTTGAAGTTACTGCAAAATGCATAAATGAAATTACACCAATTTAAGAGAGAAAAAAACAACAGGGGTGTGATATTGGACAGTCTTACTTTTCAGGGGATCACACAATTTTTTTTTGGTTTTAATCTATATTAGATCTTGGTGTTAAGTTTAAAATCAAAACTCTAACAAAAAAGCCCCTCAAACTACCAAGTTTGTCTTGTGTTGGTATAAGTACTATACAAACATCTTATTTTGGGCCAGAAAGCCTCAACCCATACTGAGTAGTATGTCACCTCATCAACACTCTGAAGTCCAGCTGTGTAAGGCAGTATTCATTGCGTTGAGGCCCTCTGGATTTATTTTGATGCAAAAATGAAAACCAAAACAGGAACTGAAAACCAGGCTCCTCAGAAATTTCAAGGTCCTTTGTAAACCTTCAGTGTTTTGGTACAAACAATACTTTGTACCAAAATTTTAAATTAGACACATTTAAAGCATTTGAGGCTACACAAGTCAAAAAACCCCAAATGATTAAAAAAAAAAACCCCACTTTCCTTGCATAATAGTAAGCAATACATTTAGATCTCTAAGTTCTTATTATAAGCTATTAGTAAAAATAGAAAAAATTAATAAAATAGAACCATTAAAATGCCTCATTTAAGAGTTGAGGCAGAAACAAAGAAAAATAAAAGCATCCAAAATAAGAGAGACGAGTGCTATAAGTCAGCAAGAGTTCAGAAGAATAACAACAAACACAGGAGATGGTCAAGACTGCATAAGAAGAAAGATGTTTCAAGTAAGTACGGAGCAAAAAATAATATTACTGGGGAACTTTGCAAGACAACAGGAAGAATTTAGTGACCGAAAAAAACAAGGCATTTCAAAAACCATTAATAAATGTTGGAAAAGATTGCTTACAAGGGACAGATATATCTGTCCAGTACATTTATTTATTTATTCAAAAGATGTCAAAGGGATTTGAAGCAACATTAAACTGTGATAAAACTCTGGAAGTTGGTAAGATGCACGAGCAAGCACATCTTAGATGTACAACTTGAGATGATTGTACAGAATGGCAGTGGGAACACTTCTAGGGATATTTAAATGCTTATTTCAAACAAAAATGTTCTTAGATACTAGAGACACAAACACTGTAGATCCAATTAAAGGTATCTGGGAAATTAGGGAACCAAACCAAGCAACCACATGAATAGTACCAGTGATTTAAATCAGTATAGTCACTTCCCTAATGATGCATAAAGAACAACATTGGATCCTGAAGGCGTTTTGCTGTATCAGGACCTTGACATAAAGGCTTGAGCTGTGGTGACACTGACTGGCTGTGGAGCAGAAGAATGCTTCTTTGCTAAAATGACAAATCCAGTGATTTAGCAACAAATTTTACAGTGCTGCAATTATTAAAAAGCAGCACAGATTCACATATATAATTCCAAACATCTAACAAATTCTGAAGAAACAACACAAAACAGAGTGGAAAAAGTTGTAGACCTGATTTACTTGAATTTTAAGATGTTTTAATGAAGTGGTGTATAAAATACTGGCATACAAGGGCAGCAAGTATGGTATGCAAGAGAGGCTGTTTTAATTGATAAGCAGTGTGGGCGCATCCCCACATACAGAAACGTGCATTTCCAAAGGCACAAAAAGCAGCAGCACACTTTTCTGCTGCTGCTTTGTGCCCCAGGTCATGCCCTACCTGGGTTCCTAGGGGCCTCCCAGGGCAGCAGAGGCACCAGTCTGGCTGCATGGAGCCTGGCCGGCAGGCAAAGCATGGCTCTGGAAAGCCAGGCTCCATTTCTGGTGGCACCCACTGCTGCTGCATGCACTGTGCCTCTTTTGGGGTGGGTTTCCTGGCGGTTTTTTTTTCCATATCAGGACATTCCAGTATCAAATTTGCAGTGCAGCACACAGTTGCACATTTGCCACATGCAGTTTGTGGTGCCAAAAACAGGTTTGAAGTGCCACAAGCCACACACATGCGCTCATCCAAACACACCATACTTGTCCTTAAGACTCCTGCAACATCTGGTGAACACTTGAAGGATTTGACATTGTTCTTTTTGCAATTAGCATGCCAAGAACATACTTTCTCTGATTTTATGTATTACATTTAGCAGAAGGGAACCAGATTATGGAGGTAAACATTTTTCTAGTTAAAGAATATTCATAAGAGGAAATACTTCAGAAGAGTAAGGGACAAAGAATAGTTCTATTATAGAACAATACAACCATTTGGAACAGTGACTGGGTCTGTGGATGGGCTTACTTAGTCTAGAGAAGTGAAGACTGAGGGGGGGATTTAATAGCAGCCTTCAGCTACCTGAAGGGGGGTTCAAAGAGGATGGAGCTGGACTGTTTTCAGTGGTGGCAGATGACAGAACAAGGAACAATGGTCTCAAGTTGCAGCAAGGGAAGTTTAGGTTATATAATAGAAGGAATTTTCTCACTAGGAGGGTGGTGAAGCACTGGAACAGGTTAGCCAGAGAGGTTGTAGACTCCATCCTTGGAGGTTTTTAAGACCTGGATAGACAAAGCGTTGGCTGGGATGATCTAGTGGGGGATGGTCCTGCTTTGAGCAGGGTTGGAGTAAATGACCTGATGTCCCTTCCCACCCTATTTTTCTATGATTCTAAGTTTCATTTATCAAAAAGAGAAAAGGGACAGATACCAGTAGACCATTTAGATTTAACTTTTTCCATAAAGAAACAGAGAGATGTGAACTAAGGCAAGGGAATGGTGAAACGTCAGAATTTAGGAAAAATATATTTATGTAGAAAATCAAGGATGTAAAAAAAAATTAGAAAGTTTTTGTACAATTCTGTCAGACGTGCAGGATCTCCTTACGGCCAGGCTTAAGGATCAGAAATTCAGTAGAGAGGAGGTAATGTAGGCTTCCCTATAATGTTTTAGGACTACTGATTAATATTCATGCAAGACGAAGGAAGAGGGAGCAGGGAGGGTGAGCACATTTGTGCAGGAATAGTGTAACCCATGAGGAAAGTTTAATGGTTGCCTAAAATGTCATCACTTGTCAGCGTGAAGTGTGGAAATAATCAATACTTGAGTCTTAAGATGGGTACACCCAGAGACTTTTTATTTAGGCATGGTGCTTCCTCTGACACTTTTTTCAGAGAAGGACCCCACCCTTCCTTCCCCCCCACTCTCCCATTCCTGCCTCCCCAAACTTTTATATAAAATCTTGAATTCCTGAACCTTGGTCAAGGTAAGGGAGTGTGGAATACAAATAAACAGTTGAAAGACACAGAGGTGACAAGAAACACAGAGAAGCACAAGAAGAGTACAATTATCATAATTCTGGAGACATCTTGAATAAAACTTCAACATCTGTCCAAATGCAATACAATAAATCAATGACATATCTGTGTACACACGAAAAAAAGCAAGGGAAGTTTCTGTTCTGCTCTAATAAATATTTTTTACCTTAAAATGTATTCCCTTATAGTACTTACTAATTTATCTTGGCAAAATTAAATTGCAAACATTTGCCTCCCTCATATAAGCTTAAATGATGAGAACACAAGACAGCAGTCCCAATAAATGTTTAGTCCAAGAAATAACAACAAAAAATAAAGACATTATTCTTAGTTCTGAGATTCCTCGATTTTACTATTAAATCAAAAGGCAGCAAAAAACAGATGGAATAACTATGCCATCTGGAAAGCTAAGACATAGTAATGTATAGACATTCATTATTTCTTAGTGATATTCTCCTTCTGTAGCCAAGTTTCACTGTATCAAGTGAATATAACTCTCTCTTTAAAATTCAGATTAAGAGTTAGTTATATTAAGAGCTAAAAGTGTCTGTTTAGGAACACTGAATGAACATATTGACAAACAAGATCAGTGCCAGTCCTAAGTGTTTGCTGACATACATCTGATGAAAATAACACATGAAGAGTTAGGCTCTCACAATGACTGCATAGGCAGAAAACGACCTGTAAAACGAAATGTGCATTAACATTCCAAGAAAGGATAATCGGAAGTGTTGCTGTCACTTGATTCTTATTCAATGAAAAATTTCTATTGACCATCACCCAATACACCAATGAAGTGAGATGAATATTACCTCAGAGCGTATATGCTGGAGAGACTACATGTAGTGACAGAAACACTCTCATAGTCACTGCTGGAGATGGAGCTGAGGGGAGAATCACGTAAGCCATCCTGAGAACTGAAAAAAGCATATGGAAATAAGATGAACTTCAGAACAAAAATGAATAAAAGCAGAGCAATGGTAACCAAAGAACTGTAAGTGATCACGTAAAAAATAAGAGCACACAGACACACCACTCTGAGTTCCTAGAAGCCCAGATATCCATTTTAATGGCCATAAGAAGCACAGAACGCCATAGCAGGACTACAGGACATGCATTTATTTATACTATGTAGTTAAGTGCACTTGGGACTTCGTACACATTGTCAACACAAGACTAGATTGTGATGTCTTCGTTCAAAAATCAGGCATCCAGAGAACCACTGTGTTTCAGGACAAGACATCCAAAGAAATCAGCTTCAAGGATTTTTACAATGCCATTATAAATATGACCTAATAGTTTCCAAGATGCCAGAAGGAAGAATAAAGATGGGAAGGGAAAGTCCACTGGAAAGTGGAGAGCTGCCTCTTCGTTCCTTCCTGCTGCTAAAGACGATGATTTAACAAATTAGTTATTTCCTCTGTCAGCATAGGCTCCCAAAGTGCCCTGTTGCTCATATTTGTTTCTAAAGACAACCAAAGGCGCAATGCTAATTATCCGAGCCCTAAGGGGGCACACGGCAAATTTGCTGCTTTATAATAGGTGCTCTACTGGTGCATGAACAAAATACATGAATACCTCACACCAAAAGAATACAGCCTCTCTTCCCCCAGCTTTTAACTACTACAAGATCTTTAAAAGAAGCAATGACTTGAAATTTTGCCAGTTTCCAAATTAGAATTCGAACTAATACCACCTGATTCACCTTGGCAATTCACAAAGAACAGTATTTATATCTCAGGCACAATCGACTGCGCGGGTATTGGAAGTTCCACAGACTGACGGCTATTAACTGACATTAGATAAGGGGAAATGTATTCTTGGGCAAAAGTATCGGAATTGTATGGTTCTAATCACGGGGAAAAACTCCTCCAAAACCTACTGATTTGGTGTTTTGCCAGTAGAAATTTTTAGACCCACAAAAGAGATAGACACATGTCTGCCTAAGAAGCATTTTTAGTTTAAAGAAATTAAACAGATTAGATCAGGAGGGTCTCTCCTCTCACTAGCAGAATTCTCATAACATTTGGATTTGCATGGATTTGTGGGCTATGCAGTTAAACTGGTTGTATTCTAGATTTCCTAACCCTACCAGATTTAACAACACAGCAGACAAATATCTAGAAGAATATATCATGGGATTTTTCAAAGTGGTGCATGGTAGTTACATGGCCTAATGGAATTAAAAAATAATAGGATTTTTTTTTACTTTCTCCCACTGACTACTTTGAAGGGATACCTTGAATCTCTCTCATTTCTGATTGCCAATTTAAAAATAAATCCCCAACTGGATTATGTTTTAGTTGAAAGGGGTATTATACACTGGCAAAATAATTTATCAGACTTAAACAAATATCTATTTAAACTTTCATTTGTTTAAAATAATTTCCCTTGCCAACCGTGCTCACTGTGAGGAGGCATTTGCATTTAAACAAAGGTATGCCTTCTCAATTCTTCATCTTCACCAACCCAATCCCAGCCATAATATTCATATACAGTTCTACAGAGACAAAAAGATTTTGAAAATATATTAGATTATGATTTCATAGCACAAGCAAGTAGGGGAAGCTATCTTATGATGAGAGTTATTGTTCAAACACTTCAAAAGGAAGACAGAAAGCCATCACCAAATTAAGTTGCTTCTGTTAAAAAAAAATTTTTTTTTCAATTTTGCCTCATTATAGAGCCTCATTACCTCCAACTGATTGAGGTAATGCTCTCACAGAGGAGGAACCAAATTCTGCTTTCCTGGTACAGTCTGCATGAAGAAATCCATCGAGAGTTTCTCAGCTGTCTGCACTACAAGGAAATCGTATCCATGACCAGTTAATGCCAAACACTAGCCCAGGAGAAGCCAACCTGCGGCACACATGCCAGAACTGGTACAGGTAGTCTCTGAGTGTAGCACGTGGCAGACTGGTGAGAGAGCAAAGAACACAGACAGATAGAGCAGGGAGCAGAAAGCAGAGCAACAAATCAAGCAGGGTACAGGGCTCACCTTGTAGCACACCTACTAAAAAGACTGCCCCCCCCCAACTGAACTAGACAATTAAGAGGAAGGCCCCAATGTCACGAGTTTTTATCACAGGCATAACAAGTAATTTTTGCACCCTGGGCAGCAGCAGCTCGGGCGGTGGCCAGGACAGCAGTAGCCACCATTCATGCACCCTTTAAATCAGCCTCTGGGCCCTAGGTGAGTAACACGATTTTCTTTTTCAAAAAATATGTTCTCTAATGTTTTATTCGTTTTCTTTGCCATTGGTGCTTTGAGCCTTTCAGATTCATGTTTCCAGCTTTTCTCCACAACAAAAAAAGTCTAGTCATTTTCATTCAAAAAGGGCAAAAAAAGCCAGTCATTAGAATCACATAAATGGCAACGCTAAAAAGTATTAGGAGAAAGAACAGGTATCACAAGATTTACAATTAAAAATGCTAAGATTGGCACCATTGTCCTAGTTGCTAGACTTGGGTGCCATTTTAAAGTGTGCGTGTCACAAGTTAGAAAAAAAAATAATCTGAAGGGAACATCCAAACTGGCAAATTACGGATCTGGAACTGGGTGGTAGAGAAGCCTGGCGATTACCCTGAAAGCATTACTGAGTGATCACTGAAAAATACATTCAAAGCCTAGTTCACCAAAAAGACACATTTTGCACAAAACAAATGCTAGCGTCTAATGGCATTCTGTTGACTGTTTAAACTTCTCCCTCAGGTCTGACATGTGGCGTCAAATTGTGTCATTTGGCCCATCACCAGAGGTACACAGTAGTGTTAGCAGATAATGTGAAAATAATAGCCCTTATGTTACAAGTTTCAGAATGCCCGCATTATACTGAGGTTATTTCTCACAATCTTTCCCCTATACCTAAGCATTCTTGTGCACCCGACACCAAATTATTGCACCATTCTTCCTTTATTTGGATAAAGAGTGGTATTTCTCTCTGTCAGTTTTATTTCAGATACCTATGGACAGTGTCTGCCAACATATGGCATGAGGTCTCTTATTTCATTTACATGTGTCAGATAGCAATTCTAATTAAGGCGTACGCTTTTTACAATCTGCTTTGGAATTTAAGCAATCTAAATTCAGCTCTGGATGTCAGAAGTTACACTTGACTTTATACTTCATAGCTATACAATAATCTGGGCTCTTTCTGGACCTGCACCTGAATCAGGCTTACAATGATTACCTGCTTCATAGATTAGCTTGGCTGAAGCATTAACTCCTAATATTCTAGCCTGTCAGTATCTAATGTAGGCTTGAGTCAGGTCATCACCTACATGCAACATTCAGTTTTATTCACTTTTTTAAACATGAAATGATAATGGGGAACAGTTTTGCCTGTATATGCTATATACAAAAACAACAAAACTTCATTTGCATGCCATAAATATGTAACAGGTACAAAGTCAAAAGCTGACAACCTTGCTGCTCAGCTGCGAGTCCTAATGCAGTTCATGTTTCACATGATGAACATCTTACCTGTAGGTTGGCTCTTCACACAATATGTACACACAATTATACCAGTGGTAGAAAAATCACACAGACTATACAGATTTAGATGAGAATGGCAACTTGCATACAGAAAAAAGCATCCAGTCACAGAACACCCCCCTCCCCCCATGGCTTTCATGTTAAAATATACATGAAAATATTTATTTATTTTTACAAAACCCAGTTGCCTATCCTGGCATGTCCCTTTCTCCCCTTCCTTAGCCCTCTTAGTCAAAGGGACTGGGATTTCCACCTCTCCTATTCTCTCAGATGTTGGAACTAATGGGATTCATGCCAGGCTGGCCCTAGGAAATAAGAAAAAACAGCCTTACTCTTGCTTGTTAAATTTCTTCATCTGCACTTCCACATGACATTGCTCTAATGAAGGTCTTAATATCAACTCCTAACAGGCAAAACACCCCTTTATGTCCATTACGTACCTTTTGACACTTGCAATTTCTTTTCAGTTTCTCTGTGTGCCCGCCTGGCTTTGAACAGTCTGTTGCGCGCAGCCTTGGTCTGGCCGGCCGGCAGCGGACATCCTGCGGTCTCCTGTAAGCCTAGTGGTAGATATTTATCACCCGGGTGGCCTCCCCCAGACTCGCCTGCCACAACTTTGAATGTTGTTCCAGTGGGGGGGCAAACCACCCAGGGGTCCTCTTCGGCGGGGAGTCCACCAGGCGGCCGTCCATGGGGCTCCACCTCCCCTACACCCCAACCTTGCGCCAACCTTTTGGCAGGTCACCGGACCTTCTCAGCCAAACCCCAATGATGCTGTGTTTCTTGAGCTCAACAATCTTCGTAGCCTTATTACACCTTAAGCACTTCCTCCTGGGATAACTCAATCATTTAGCCGTTTGGCTTCAGAAGGGCCTCTGCCTGCACTAAAGCAGTATCAGACCCGGGACTTTAAATTTAACCACCAATCAAAGGAAAAGGAAAAGAAAGGCGGTGCAGAGCTGTCTTGCCTGTGTTGCCTCACCCTCTCTCTCAGCCCCTCCAAAAGGGGGAAAACAAAATTCCAAAACAAACTATAAGTTAGGAAGGACCCATCCAGTTTCCTCCCCCCAGCCCTACTGCTATGATAAGAGGGCATTGTTTTACCCCTAGGATCTCACTAGGGCCGACCTGTCATCTGGCCAGGGTTGACAGCAGCCCCTCATCCCAGGTTGTTTCTCCCCTCAGTCTACCGAGTGTGGTATGTGGTACTACTCTCCTCTGACGTTGTCTGAGGCATTCCACTTCCGATGTCCTGCGGTACTTTCTGAAGTGGATGGCCACCTTCTATATTAGATACCAGCGCCCAGCCTCCTGCCATCCTGCTCCACAGCCTCTTTTGCTGCTCACGGCCAATCCCGCCAGGAGACAGAGCCTCCTCTGGCTCTCTTGTCCCCCTTACGCTCCAACCTTTGTTGGTGCAGA